TACATGACACACACCTAAACATACTATGAACAACATATGTATAGACCCACATCCCTACATATACGTAGCAAATAAATATTAAATATTGTCCATCTTGAATATATAACGGAAGGAGGAAGCTTGAGAGTTCGCAAGGTTAATGCTGTATGGAATGAAACTCTGGCTGAATCTGGATGTTCTGCTTCGGATACCACGAAGCTAACTTACAACTGAAATTCTAGTCCCAATTATGATTATAAACCAAGAACTACCTGTAGACCTTTTGGGGAAGAAAGACCCCCTAAAACTATTATTATTGGCTGTTCATGTGTGCTAACTAAGACATTTAAAAGAGATCAGAGGAAAACTTTAACAATTATCACTACAGGGATCACTGTCTTCTTAAGATTACTTCCCCTTGCTTTTAATTGTTCTCATGTAGCTCGCTAGAAAGGTAATTTTTGTGTCAAGTTTGACACAATATTGTTCTTCCTTATTTTAAATGCCTAGGTTTTTCTGACATTCTTTATAGGCTTCATGTACACTATGAACTTGAATGACTATCCCACATAACTTTGAGTCTGTTCCCTTTCTTCCCTTGAAAATTTTCTGCTGACAACTACGGATCTCTTTTATTTCCTTAAATTACTGTTGTGGCCCAGAAAAGCCAAAGTTTGGGCTTGTTTTAGAAGTTCAGTAAGGGAAGGGAGATGGCTAGCATTTATTTACTAATTACAAAGTGACAAAAGACCTTAGTTGTGTCAAACACACCTTACTTCAGAAAGAAATGCACTAAGAACAGACATTTTTTGTTAAACTTTCTAAATCACAATTTAAATGATATCAATAAACTACTCAAATATAAATCAATTATATATTTATAATCCCCAACCATAAATGTTTTCACTGCTTTGCTTTGAAAATGTAGCGATGAGGCAGGTTCCAAGGGTACCTGGACAAAATTATTCATGTCATTTACTTGATGTACTACCAGAAAACCCTGGGAGTAAGAAGATAAACTTCACACTGCAAGTGCCACCTGTGTACACACAGCACCCCTAAACAGAGAGAAATGGAGAGCTGGAGAGAAATGTGAAATCCTAAGATGGGCATTGCTGATGAACAATGCACAAGCTAATCAGAACATTAAGGTGTAGCTAAGTCAGTCAGTCAAGCTTGTAATTCTCCAAACTGCAGGTTCAAATTTTATTTATTTATTGGTCCCTGCCTCTCCCCTTCATGGAAAAGGTTTCAGTTTCACAAAAGCAATTCAACTCTTTTCTAATTATTACTTGCCAAACAGCTATAAATATGCCAACACTGCCAAGTTTTAACATTCTATCTGGTTAAGAAGGCTGTTTGTCACCCTTGTCTTTACACAAAGCAGCAGCTGTTAACCCTAGCTGGAAACACAGAGTATCCACCGACCTCTTCTTTTTACCTCACGGCATGATCAGTTAGGCATCTAGTGAAGAATGTAACTCAATTGGCTTTCCAGGCACAATTAAAAAAAAAAAACCTCTCATAGATGTTTTATTGCTCAAACAAGGTTAGTTTGTGTGGTATAATGACATTTCCAATAATGACTGCAAAGGCCAGTGCTTTTAGACATTTTAAACTTCAGCAGGAAAATTTGGAGGAGAAGAAAGTTTACATAGCAGACGTACATATACACAGTTTCTTTTCATGGCCATGTCTCAACAGCATTTATTGTGAAATCTGGTCTACTTCCATAGTGCAATTAATCTTTATAGTGTTGCACAAGATTTTGTCCCACACATAGCAATGTTATTAAGCATAATATTTTAGGCAACAGGAGTGCTTTTTCCACATAAAGACAAAAATCAAATTCAGTGAAACCAATATTGCTTATGCAGGGGAGATTTTGCCATGCCACCCATATAATTTGCCAATCTGGAATACATCTTTAAATCTAATGAGGTTCTAATATGCAGAAACATGTTTCCAGCACCTGTTCACCTTCATATTTTTATTAAGTATTTAATAAAATACATTAAATACATTAAGTATTTTTTTTCTTTTTCTTTTCTTTTTTTTAAAAGAGCAAATTTCTAAAATCCAACTAAAAAAAATGACTGAATATCTTTCAAACAAAATCTTTGTTCTCTCTGCTATAAAACAATAAGAGAAAACCCAGACTCACAAGATGAAGAAAGAACCTATAATCCCTTGCTAATTATTTTAGCTATATTTTTGAAAGCTTTTTAGTGTAGTAAACATCAAGTACAGCAACTACAAGGAAAATACTTTTTCTTTGCTAATTTGGCAGTAATTATGATGCTTCCCTTTGTGAGCAATATGGAACACCACGTAAAGGACGGCATGAAGTTGCATCTTCATGTTAGTTACAGTGAGGGGAAAAAGTACACTGGGCACTATCTAACAAAATGAAATTCAATGGTGAAAAAAGTAAGGTTCTACATTTAGGCAAGAAAAACCAAAAGCACAGGTATAGTATAGGTCAATAACATAGTATAGTATTGCTCAATAATAGTAATTGTGAGAGTGATCTTGGAATCCTAGTGGACAATCACTTAAATATGAGCCAGCAGTGTGCTGCAGCTGCCAAAAAAGCCAACACAATGTTAGGCTGCATTAACAGAGGGATAGAATCAAGATTACGTGAAGTGTTAATGCCACTTTACAATGCCTTGGTAAGGCCACACTTGGAATACTGCATCCAGTTTTGGTCACCACGATGTAAAAAAGATGTTGAGACTCTAGAAAGAGTACAGAGAAGAGCAACAAAGATGATCAGGGGACCGGAGGCTAAAGCATATAAAGAACGGTTGCTAGAATTGGGTATGTCTGGTTTAATGAAGAGAAGGACGAGGGGGGACATGATAGCAGTGTTCCAATATCTCAGGGGCTGCCACAAAGAAGAGGCAGTCAAGCTATTCTCTAAAGCACCTGAAGGCAGGACAAGAACCAACGGGTGGAAACTGATCAAGGAGAGAAGCAACCTAGAACTAAGGAGAAACTTCCTGACAGTTAGAACAATTTATCAGTGGAACAACCTGCCTCCAAAAGCTGTGAATGCTTCAACACTGGAAGTTTTTAAGAAGAGACTGGACAGCCATTTGTCTAAAATGGTATAGGGTTTCCTGCCTGAGCAGGGGGCTGGACTAGATGACCTCCAAGGTCCCTTCCAACCTTATCATTGTTGTTGTTGTATTTGATCCCCTGCTGATTTTGTACGTTTGCCCACTGACAAAGAAATGATTAGTCTATAATTTTAATGGTAGGCTTATTTTAACAGTGAGAGACAGAATAACAACAAAAATCCAGAAAAATGCATTTCCAACAAGTTATAAATTGATTTGCATTTTAATATTAACTATATTTAATTATAATTTATAATTTATAGCTCCATCAATTACCTCTTTAAAAAGGTCTCCTACCACCTCCCCAAATGGTAGATTTTGGTCTGGAAAAAAACATCAATTCTTAAATCAGGGGTATGTCTGTATAGGTGTGACATCAACTGCTTATGCTTTCTGGGTCTTAGATGCATTTATACACCTTAGGTATATGCAAAACTCCAATATTTATTTCCTGGACAGTGATCTAAAGCTTTGGCTCATCTGCTGTTAAATCTTGCATCTGAGATCCAGAAAGGAGCCCTAGTGTCAATTATAGGCCTCTCATAGCTATTGCTAAGATTTTGTAGAGATTACCAAGAAAGCTAGTGCCTTGCTGGATGGCTGGAAATTTAAAGAATAATAGATGATAGCCCCTCAACTACACAGTTC